TACATTTTGTACGACCATATCGGGAACAATTGGTTGTAGCTAAACATTTGTTCATCCTGCTAAGTTGTTTTTATTCACTTTATCTACGTATACGTGGTTTATGGGGATTTAGTCACTTCCAGGGAATGCCCATGTCGGTGCGCCTCGACACGACCGACGCGCGCTTCGTTGACGTCATCCACACCGACGGCACGTCCATCTTTCTACTTGGTATGGGCCGAAGACAAACCTCTGATGTGCACTCTTACCTGTTAATTTTGCGTCATTTTGTGAATGAGTGATTCTAGGATATTTGAGATCATACTTGTCCAATCGAATCCACATGACGGACGAAGTTAAAAATTGCGCGTTTGCTATCTGTCTCCACTCAGGGTACGGCATGTCGCAGCCCTGCGGACACGTCGACTTCTACCCGAACAACGGCAAGGAGCAGCCAGGGTGCTCCGGCACCGACGCGCCTCTGCCACTCACGCTCATCCGCGAGGGCCTGGAGGAGGCCAGTCGCGTGCTGGTGGCGTGCTCGCACGTGCGAGCCATCAAGCTCTTCACCGACTCCATCAACACCCCGTGCCCTTACATCGCCCACAAGTGTGACTCCTACGAACACTTCCTTGAGGTGAGTGCTGCACACACACCACACCAAAAAATAAATAAATATAGAAAGCCGCAGCAACCAACGAGCCGCTAGCTCAGGGAAAACCATCAAATAAAATAGTCGAGACAACAATAGCCAAGTACACTGTAAAAAAGAGTTGTTGAAAAATGGTCTAGTGTGGGAAATTCCGTGTTTTACTAGAATTATCCTTATTGGGTTAACCAAAGTGTGGTAACCTCATAACTGAAGTGGAGCAGTTCAGTCCAATTGTGTCCTATATTTGTGAGCGCAAGACAAAGGTTCCCTAGAGAAGTTAAGAGTGTAGTGTCAATGCCGTGCAGTTGAAAATATAGCCACACCACACGTGTATTTAAAATGTGGTACTCAGTAAGTATACTCTTAACTGTAGATCACATTAGGCCCTCCCTTAAATTTGTACAACACCAAGACTAAGACTTATGAGTCTGAGATCTTACCACCCTCGAGTTTCCTGATTGATTAACGTTTACTTCAGCGATCTAAAGATTCGATTTTCTCATTTTTAAATGCGTTTTTATAAGTACACTTTCCAGAGGTGCTAGGTTCAGTTTCTACCCAATTTTTCGGCGTTTATTCTGAATGAGTTCTGAACGCTGCACAGTGCTACACTGCTGGCCCCAGACGCGCGGGTGGCAGTGAAAGTGCAGTGCTGCTGCAGCAGCTGCAGCGACTGAAAAAAAAGAATTGTAAGAGAACAAAGGCGCATCGGCGGCGCTGGCGCTGCAACTCAACTGCACCTCACTAAGTCATGAGTCACGCCAAAGCTGGAGGCTGGCACTGGCGGTCGCGGTGGTAGTGGCGAGGTAAGCCACTGCTTTCCGATATGATTATGAGAAGAAAAGATCTTTTTTTTAAGGAATAGTAAATGTCCTCTGCACCCGAACTCCGTTCCGGCGGGTGCGGCGCGGGTCGGCTATCCTCGCTGACCCGCTTTCAGCGTCCTTGCCTTTGCCTCGCGCTTGCCGGCTCGGCTCGGCTCGGGCACTTCATTGTTACTTGATTAGGCAGAGAGATGGTTGCGTGACAGACCCGACCCGGGTAGTGTGTTGTGTCTGGCGAGTCCAGGGCCGCGCTTAGAGTGTCGTAACCATGCAGGTCACTGCCCTCTACGAAAATAGTTTGGTCATTGGATGACG